ACACACACACACACACAGCTGTCTATTTGTCTCACACACACGATCAACAACACTAATACACACTCCCCTCTCCTGAGACTGCAGAGGAACACAAACAAGTTCTGAACAGGCCAGAAAATTAATTAGAGGAAGAGGAGCAAAAACAAGAGACGCATCGACTGGCTTCCTGTCAGAGGCCTACAGGGAGAGCAGAGGGGTGAGGAGAGGGGAGGAGGTGAAGGAGAGACTGAAGGACAGAGATGGGTGGGTGGAATAAACACAGGAGGAGGAGTGGAGGAGAGAAAATTCAGCTCATAGAATCAGTAACAGGCTGCACATGGCCAGAGTTCGTTTTCTTTAGAAAAGATCCTCTGAAATGGACTGTAACCTACAAACTACCCTAAACTACCCTACAATCTGCATCGGCACACTACACACACTGCTTTCACCTGAGCTATAAAAGACGATCTGCAAGTCCAGCTGCAGAAAACATAGATGTCCCGAGGATGTACAGACACCGTCGTTCACACTGATTTAATCACTGAGTAACATCTAAAACGTTTTATGAATAACCCAATTGTTCTAAGACGGCATTACCAAGAAGCTCAGCTGCAGTCTACAGACTCATCCCAAAACCACAGCGGGCAGAATATTTCCTGCTTTCACCAACACAGTTACATTCCCTCTACTGTGTCTCCGTATGTGTGTGTGTGTGTTTGTGTCCCAACAAATCCAGTGTCCTCGCTGTGTCCCGAGGGGTTTAGCAGCGCTGTCGAGAGAGTGAGGCCATGCTGGACAGGAAGCAGCACCTTGTTAGTAATGGGGGGGTTAAAGGTGAAGGTCGGGGGGGGGGGTCAGAGGGTACCTTCTGTGCTCCAGAGAAGGCATGGTAGAAACTGGACACATAAGTCATTATGGCTTTCTCATCTGGACGAGCAGTGTTCACAATGTCTATATGGAGGGTGGGGAAGACCGTGGTTATGAGGACACACACACAGGCATACAGGCATGACAGAGGACACGTAATTACAGACAACACGAACATACATATTAAACAGGCTGGCAAAACAGAGACACACATTCAACAAGCTGCTGTAGCTGTTAACAGCCAGACAGGACGATCAAAACGGGATTCACAGGCAAACAGAACGGGTACAAATACAACGGACGGACACAGAAATAACATCACAGCACATACAAGGGTCAGACCTATACAGCAGTTCACTACAGACTGCCAGTAAACATTTAACTTAAATTGGAAAACTGAAGTTTGTGTGTGTATATTACTATTCTTCTTTGTTATTTGGGAAACTAAAAATCTAAATATCAGCCTCAGCTCTCAGTGCTCATATTGGTCGACCCTTTCCACATACAGACAGACATTCAGACAGTTACATCTGAGCATATGAGGAGACAGAGGAGGAGGAACAATGAACTGAAGGGGAGGGAGGGAGGGAGGGAGGCGCCACCGATCCTCTCATCTGCTGGAACAGCTCATATAACAGGTACAACAGTGGAGATCAGTGGCCACATTCACATGCACATCAACACTGTGACTGTAATGGAAGCGTGGCGATCATTAAATTCAGTTAGGACACGCCGCACTGTACTCTGACCAGGAGCACGGTAACATCAGAGCACAGCTGCAGTCACATGCACAGCAGGTGCTCTGATCTGATTGGCTGTTACAGACATTCAGAACGTATTTACATCTGTGTGGCAAAAAGGATTTAGGTCAGTATGCGGTCGGCTCATCTCGGCCCATCTCGGCCATCAGATTTTAGACTTAAGACATAGACACAGTCACATTGGGACCTGCAAACAAACTGTGTATTAAATAGGGATGTAAAATATCCATACTATTGAGTATTGCAATATTTTGTTTTATGACATTCAGTGTTGTAAGCTGAGGGCTATGATGTTGGTTGTTACATACAAATGCAGATCCCACTGTTTTATATTAGATTACACTATCGCAGTGTATTAAATCGTAAACTGTATCGTCCTATCGTATCGCCAGATTTTTGCCAATACACAGTGCTACTATGGAACAATGTAATTAGCTGTTCCAGTGTGTTTAACCAATATAAATGAGAATAATACAGGGGTTGTAACATTATGAAATAACTCAAGTAGCTCAATCAGACAACTGCCCACGTACATTATGGGTAACAGTCACCCTGCTGTGCACGTAAACACAGCCATTTACTGAAAACAGTGAGTGCAAATATAGTACATTATAGTACATACACAGGACAATGTGATCATAATAGTAATAAAAACAACAATAATAATAATAATGATGATAATAATGATAATGATAATACAGTTTCATTCACAAACACAGCCTACCTTCTGCGTCCAACATCTTGGGGATGTCCAGGTGCTTCTCAGCCACCTCAAAGGCATTGTTCAGGTTGGTCACTGGGTCATCCTAAACAAACAATCACAGCAGAGGACAACAAACGTATTTATTAGAATTAGGTTAGTTTATTTTACTCTATTATTAGCAAGATCCATGTTGAAACTCAACTGCTGGTTTGCATCAAAAAATGCAAAAACTATAAATTAGAACTGAGTTGGAACAGAAAATGTGAAATGTAATGTTTAAGTCTTGCAGTAGTGTAGGTCTAGTGAGTGTGTGTGAGTGTGTGTGTGAGTACCTTTCTGAGGCTGTCGTAATCGATGAGATCCGGTCTGTGTCTGTGGATCAAAGCGTTGAAGGCGAGACCGTCCTTCCAGCTGTTAGACAGAGAGAACAGATGAGTGGAAGGTGGAGGGGGGCTGCCACTGTCATCACCGCCAGTTTAGAAACACCTTTTTTATTGTGACTAATTAAATGTATGAACTACATTGTAGCAGAATAACACACCTCTGAAGTCACTGAACTGAAATTTAGAAGGTCACAATAAGATCACATCAGAAAACTATTGCAAGTGAGAAATGTATTCATCTTCAAGATGGTGACAAAATAATTTCATTCTAGATTAGTTTGCTTTGATCTTAAGGTAAAATGCTGAAAATAAAAAGGGTTTTATATATAACTTGTACTTTGTATGTGCTGTATACATCAGCACAGAGCAGGGAAACATGTTCCAGTTCCAGTCCAACAGGGGGCGACCTTTCTACACAATTATAGCACTTAATTTCAGCAATATTTTATATTCCTAGACAGCACTGAGCTTCCATCCAGCATTAATCAGTATTAGTTCATGGTGACATAAACCACTCATATACCAGCAGATGTGCTCAAACTGCTCCATGACAACCGAGAAGAACCCTGTTTTCTTTTTAATATTGCCCCGTTGTGTCGTCCAGCTCTGATATCACGAAAGTTCCTTGCAAACTACAGCTAACCATAAACACTCTTTACCTCAGGGTTTCACTGGAGAGTTTTACTGTCCCACGAGAACCTAAACGTTCTTTTAGAGGATTTTCCAGCCTCAAGATGGAATTCTGGTGGAAAAGCTGAATATCTATAATTTTCTGATAACCTTTTGATCTTTAAATGTGTCAACAGCTTTCATCCAAGAATAACTCTAATGGCCCTTAAACAACTGAGATCAGTCTAATCTTAAATCGTGTGTGTGTGTGTGTGTGTGTGTGTGTTACCTAATGTGGAAGTTCTGCACATTGACATTCTTGTAGGGAGCGGTCTTCCTCTGGCACCACAAGAGAAGACCCTCCTTCGCAGAGGTCTCTGCAATGAGGAAAATGAAGGAGAAGAAGAGGAGAACAAACAGAGGAAAAAAGAGGAGCAGTAGGAGAGAAAAGAGAAAAGGAGGAGTGTTTTGAAAATTGTGAAGAAATTATCTTCATTACATTCGACCAAGTACACTTTATTCCATTAAGGTACACTGCAGCAGCTGTTTATGAGTGTGCTAAATATGAACCGCTTCAGAACAAGGATGTTTTTGTTTACTGCAGGAGCCGAACAACGTCAGAAAAATATCAGCCACTAATATGGAGAATAGAAAATATATGACTCAATATTCCTTATCGCGCGGGGCCCACACCCACCAGAGTTTATGCAGCACAGACAGTTTTAATTAGCCGCCACAGAGTCGTTAGAGCTCTGAGGAATAATGAGCCAGTCAACTTTTATGGAGCAAAATAAATGCAAACGTCAAAAACATTTCCCAAAGAGGAAGTGCTGAAGTGTAGAAATCTATCGGTGTTTGAGTTGTGTATTATATCTGTGTATCTGTATATTGTCATTGTAATGTCTGTTTCCTGCCTATAGACTAATGGTGTAAATTAGCATTGTTTGCATATTTTCATTACCTGGTTTCTTGCTTAAGCAGGTAATAATAATCATAATAAAAGCAGGTGTAACGCTGTTCATAGCACCGCTAGAGTAGTTTCACATCATCCTCAGTCTTAGTGAGCAGTCATGCAGACCAGACCCGTTTTATCTTGTCTGGATCCCACCACTACTCACTGCCCTGTGTGTGTGTCTCTAGCCTGTTACTTCCACTCTAGTTCCCACAATGCATCCTCAGCTTGCACATCTGCGTGTGCGTGCAAGCACCAAAGATTCCTGCAGGTCTGAGCTAATTACGCCGAGCCGTCGCAGTGGCACTTCTCTGCCAAGCTGCTGCTGATCTTGACTGTGTTTATGCAAATGAAAGCGCAGGAAGCTGTACCTTCTACAGAGATGTCCTGGATGGCGAAACGGAGGATGATGGTCCAGATCATACCCAGGGTCATCTTGGCGTTTCCATCCACGATTTCTGCAGAAAAAAAAAAAAAAAACCTCAATCAAGATTCGCTCTGGACCATAAATCTTGTTTTTACAATCTTACATCTGCTCTTCTATCTAATAATGCCAACACACCCACACACAACTGCACTTAATGTCCCACAGCTGCCAAATCTCCAGTTTTACCCTGGAAGTGTGACACTTTAACAATGATTTCTTTCAGAAAATAAATTCGATCTTGGTAGATATAAAATGCAGTCAGATGGTTCCTGAAACACAATTGTTCTGTCCACTGTAAGAGACCCTTATTGGTGTTTCATCATTTGAAATAGGCATATTACGTTCCAGCCAACACATGAAAGCAGTGTTGGCTTGCCCTGTGAAGGTGTGTGCAGTGAAAACAGTATTCATTTTATTTCTAACTTCATCTAAAGACATGAACAGATTCATCCGGCACTGGCACACATATACAGGCTGGAACATCGAAACTTGAGTTTTCAAAAACCATTATCTCTCTTTTCCCACCAGGATCCACATATGTTTGGCAGGTTAATGAACAGACACAGAACAGGA